TCCAAAGCCCAGCTGTCCTTCATATCCAGCACTGCTCCTGCCTCGGCCATGAAGCCTCTGAGTACCAACTGCAGGAGTCTTTCCTAACTCTTAACTTCCCAGCACTTCTGGTCAGAGCACACTCTGCTCTACTACTGTTCTACAGTAGCCACCCCTGTGTGCACCTTTCCCTGGGTTGCCCGTATGCTGCTGCTCCTTTTCTGGCCTGTCAAGTGACCACTCCCACTGAGTGAAGAAGGGGAGGCCCCTTAGGGTTGAAGGTTTCTATCTTCAACTGGAAAACACTAGGTGGCCAGCTTTGCTGATGAGTGTGGGGCAAAAGCTCAGGGAGGAGGAACATGCCCTGGATCAGCTTAGGCAAGTGTAATGAGGTGTAGCTTCTCAGGGAGGCATGGCACATCCTGCCAGTGGGAGAGGACAGAGGGCTGCAGACGCTAATGGGATCTTGGTCATGCTAATAGGATATAACCATCTAGAAAGGAGGACATGTTGGGTTGTCTACTTTTCACTGAAGTTTTATGCTGTGAGGAGACCCTCAAAACAGCACCTCTGGAATAAGGATGGGAGAGGATTGGGACCAAATCCTGCAGGAACAGTGGAGGACCTGTGTGGAGATTCATGTGTGGTGTGTGAATCTCTCTATAGGATGCTTCACTGAGAGCCAGAGGTCAGAGCCCAGAACAATGGGTGGAAACCACAGGAAGCCAGATTCTGGTTGACAATGAAGCTCTGAAGTCAGGGCTGCTTCAGAGGGTTCCCATCCCTAAAGATGCATGCTTGAGCACTGCCTGAGTGACTTCATGGTGGGAGCTTTCGAGATTTTGGCAACAGTTGGAAGGACTGCCCCTTTTGCGCTTTCATGTCCAGGCAGTCAGATTTACCCAACGGAGGAACAAAGTGCCACGTGCCCACTCTGTTCACAACTGCCTTGGTTCTTGTACTCAGCAGTTCACTGCTAGCACCTGAGATGCTCATGGGGCAAAGGAACCACAGTGTGCCTGCCTGCGGTAACAAGATAGAGCAGCCCTGGAAGACTCCCACATTCGGTGCAGCAGGGAGGCAGGCTGGGCTCCTCTTCCCTAGCCTTGCATTCCCGGTCCATGCCTCCAGAGTTTTTCATTGTAACCAAAAGGAGAAAATTGGCCAAGGTCATTGGGCATGTCTTTCTCCACTGTCATGAATTGGGTGGCAGGCTCTAGGCAGAAGCTACCATCCACAGCCTGGTTTATCCTACTCTTCCCAGGATAGGTAAGAAGAGAAAAAAAAAAAAAAAAAAAGCAAGGGAAGGGTTGAGAGGGGAGAAGAATGTTACCATGGGAACCAGATGGGTTTCTTCACAAATCCTTCCACTTCCTCAAAACACTAAGATTGTTGGAGGGGATAGGAAACAAAATCCTGAAAAATACCTAAGGTCAGTGGTACTGATACCACCAGAGTGGAATGGTCCTAGTTCTGGACTATGGGAAAAGCTTAGTTGGAAGTTAACAAAATTCACTAGTGCTGCTGCTTGAAAGTACACAGAAATGTTCTGGAAGGTCTCATGCCTGAAACTCTCTAGAACTTTGCCTCAAGGTTCGAGGGCCCCAGGGCTTGTTCCCAGCTATCCTGTGAGAGAGAACAAACTTGAAGGTCTACATGAGTAAGTAGGCCTATGATTAAGTCCCACCTATTATAAACCACAAGTGTGTTAACAAACCAAAACAAAAAATAGTCAAATAACAAAACTATACCAGTTGAAAAAAAAAAGTTTCTGTCCCTCAAGAAAGTCTGTTATGGGAGCTCTCTCTGCCTGCCTAAGAGTATGCAAATACCGCTCCTTTCCTTTTTCCTTTTCCTAATAAAACTGTCCTTTTAAAATGTAAAATGAATCAAAAAAAAAAAAAAACCCAACAGCAGCAGCAGTCTGTTATGCACACCTACTTATTTGGGAATCACTAGCTGTTTCTTATTTTCCTAAGCTTACCCCCTTGTTTTCCAAATATGAAATAACAATAAATACACATTTTTGCCAATCAAGATTTACTGGGCTAAGTAGGCCTAAACCAGATGGGCTTAAGTCTTTACCACTGACTCATTTGGTAATTGCAAAGCCATGGCTAAGAACTTACCCTGACCCTAAGACTAGAGAATCAAATGGTTTCCAAGAGACCAAGCTGGACTGGCTGCAGTGTTTACCTCATCTTCTATAAGGATTTTACACAAAAGACTGAGTGTAAGAATTGGTGTTACTATACTCTACCTGGATGTTGAGGGCCTTGCCATGGCTGTAGCCTTCTCAAGAGTCTTCTTATGCCACAATGCAAATAAGATCTACACTCTGCCTCCCTGTAAATACAGTGAGTTCTTGTAGCAGCATATGCTGTAGCCTAGGGACCTGCAAATTCAAATGTATGTTGGGGTCATAAAGGGTACAGAGGTGCAAAGCAGTCTGTTTTCACAAAGAACTTCACCTTTCCCTATATTTCTGGAAATGCTTGATCCTTTTGCTTTCTCTCTTGATAGACATGGGTAGAGAGATTTCTCTACTGTGAGCAAAATGATGCAAGTATGTGAACCAAGGTCTTTTTACACTTCCCCTCTGTTGGTGGTAGTACAGTGAATTGGGGAGCAATGTCCTGTCTGAAAGATAGATTTTAGTGCTTCTCCCAGGTGCTAAGCAGGCACATGAATGTAGTTGATGGCAGTACATCTTCTCATTTTTTGGAAAGAAGTCAGAAATCTATCTTTGATTGCAAAGGCTCCTAAGTGTTGAATGTTGGCTACTTATTTTAAGTAATTGCCAAACAGCATGCAGGCTGGCCGTAGCCTGTTCTTGGTTCTCCTCTTCATTTGTCTAAGGACAGTTCCCTTCCAGAACTACCAGTGTGAACATTAAAGGGATAAAAGCAGGATGGTTGTGCTGACCCACTTCAAGTGACAGAACCCCAAATTCAGACAGCTCTAAGAGATAGGGGTAACTAGGTCCACTGTGACATTCTGACCTCAGGACACATGATTAATCTTGGCTAGTGAGAGAACCCAGCCACTAGGGATGGGTAAGGTGGGCTATCCCTATGATCCCATTCATGGGCAGGTGGCAGTGTGAAACCTCATCATAGGGTGGAGGAACTGAAGGAAGCGAAGTCCAGGTTAGAGGCCACTTTTCTAGTGCACTGAACTCGAAAGTAAAGTCTCACTGACCAGCTGGGTCTAGTGACCTCCAGAAAGCCTGAAGTTCTGAGAAACAGTTTTCCCCATGCCCCATTTCCCCCAAATTGACTGGTGGCCACTCATTTGGGCTTCACCCTTGGTGCATTAGGCTCAGACTGTGGCCATAATAATGAAATATATTTGGAGTCAATGAGTGGACATTGGCCTAAGGTAAGCTGTTCTCGTTCATCCTGGCTCAGGTAGGGACCATAACAGAGGGCAAGGTGCACTCAGCGAGTGAAATGCCCTGAAATAAGAAATGCTACTCCCTTAGCACTGGGATCCATTTAACCCAGAAATAAAGGGCACCAGAGCAGGGAAGGCAGTTTGGCTCAGGGGAAATGAAGTCCTGATCAAGTCCAAAGACAGTAGTATCACAACTGCCCCCATATGTATACCTGCGATCCTGTCGTACTGGGTCTTCCCATTTAGATCCCATGCAAGCTGCTCACATAGCTGGTATTTTACTTGTACCCCCCCATTCTCAACCTGGGCAAGAAGGGTCCCTGTGGTCCCAATCTCCCATTCCAGGTTCAAACTTCGAGAGAGTTTTGTTTTTGTTTGTGATCAAAAGGAGAAAAGGGGCTAAGGCTGAGTGTGCTTGAGCCTTTCTCCACAATCATGAATTGGGGAACAACCCCCACAAGGTTAGGGCTAATGTCCACAGCCTGGTTTAGCAAGAAGCTGAGAAAGGGAAGATCTGGGACAATCCCAAATGGTGGGGGGAGGAGGGTGGGAGGAGAAATGTTACCACCGAATCAGAGGGGGGTGTCCTGCAAGGGAGGGGGGTGTCAGTTCTAGGAAGCATAGGGAATGGGTCTCTAAGAGGTTAGCTCTGGCTTAAAAAAAAACCTGAGATGGGGAGGATGGTACTGTTAAAGTAGAGTGGGATTAATTCCAGGCTTTTAGACTATTCTGCTTGGAGTTGCATGTAAAGTTCTGGAATGTTACAGATGTTTCACAGTCTAGATCCCCTAGCCTCCTGTCAACTTTCTGGAACTTCTATCTACTTTCAGATTCTGGGGCCCCAGGGAAGATTCTTGGCAGTGATCTTCACTGAGAAAACAAATCTGAGAAGGGTCCTAGCTGTTACAGACCACTGGTGCTTTTACAAAGTAAATGCAAGAAACCCAGCCTACTTTTGATAGTTATGCCCCAAATGCTTGTAGAGAATTAGTTTCTGTACATTTAACTAAGCTTTCTTTTTGAAAGTATGTATTTCCTCCCCTCAACTGAGCCCATGATGTCTAAACCAGGATGTGCTCAAATCTCTACTACTGAATTCTATGGTCACTGCAAACTTGTGCCTACGAGTTTGCTTCAGGTCGATACCCGCAGGGAATCAAATGGTTTCCAAAAGATCCTTGTTGAGCCAGCTGCGGGTTTACCCCAATTCATACACGCAAAAGATTGAGTATGGGAATTGATGTTAATATGTCAGAGCACCTCTGCTTTGTTTAGACTCGAGACTTAGGCCTTCACCCTTGTGTTAGATTTCTTGCAAATGTTTTCCCCGCAGTCTTACCCTCAGCTACAGCACATAAAATGTCACAGCCAACCCACTCCCTACATGTAGTAACTACGAGTTACGAGCTGCCTACTACAGCTCTAGCCAAGTGCATGACTAGCATGAATTAGAAAAAGAATAAATCTAATTCCACCATGTGCCTCCTGCCTTTTCCTTAGTAACCCTACTGCGTAATCTACTCCATGCTCCCCAAGTTCCCCACAGCCTCAAGCAACTGTGTTTTAAGGCCTTGGTTTATGGGATCTGCGATAAGCACTGTAGCTAAACAGAAGATGGGTCACACTTAAACTCTCTTTTTTATTGTTGTTTCTGGGAGCGGTGGGTGGCTGCACTTAGTAATGGGGCTGGCTGGCAAAGGGACAACCAGGTGAATGGCACACTGTCATTATCCATCAGGACAAACATGGCTCTGGTAGCTTGTTGATTAATAATAATAATAATGATAAAGTGCAAACACTTAGAGAACAATGGTTTGCTTCACTGGGGTCACACTCAAAGTGTCACTCCTTCAAGATCACACCTGGGTAAGTATGGGCACAGGAACACTCATCCTTACACTCGCCCACTTGACTTTCCCACTACTACACGCCCAACATAAGGCGGCTGGGGCTGACCACCGAAGAACGGCCAGATTTCCACAAATCACATTCTCATCCTACATCAGGTCTGCAGCTTGGGAAACTAAAGAAAGACAAGGGTGGTACAACCCAGAATTTTTTCTTTTGGCAGTCAACAACTGGCCACATTGCACGTTTCAAGGTTAACAGGGGAACCCCACGGTACAATTTGGGGTAAGGGCACACACCTTTCGCTCAGAGCTTTACAATAAAGCCAGACCAAGTGTTCCAGAAGCTGACTGCATCGGGAAGGCAACCTCTGGAAGGACTCCAGAAAACCCTTCGGTCTCAGGTTTTCGGGGCTGTGCATCGCGAGGCCTCTTTCTTCGACGTGGAAAAGCTTCCTTTCTGCAGCACAGGGAGGGCTGTGCAGGCCAACGGGAGAGGAGGAATGGAAGCGCAGTTCCTTCTTCGGAACCCAGAAGAGGTAGACTATGGAAGGCAAAGGTTCCAGAGACTTGGAAAGGCCTTTTTCTTGGGACTGGCTGGGGCTGCTCCCTTCCCTCCTCTCTCCATTAAAAACGAAAGCCGATGATGATGAAGAACGTGAGGAGAAGGAAAACGAAAGCCGTGTCTCGGGTCTCGTCCCAGTGGAGGCCCTTCTTGGCCCGATCCTCCTGCTGCTTGCGAAGGGCTTCCCGCCGGGCCCTCTGGCGCCGCTCGCGCTCTAGCTGTTCTCCGTAGTGCGCCTGGTAAAAGGCGTCAAAATCGAACATGGTGCGGCTGGCGCCCGACGCAGTCTGACCACCACTGTGGCGCTGAGAGGCGGGCGGCCGGGCGTAGGGCGAACCCGGGTCGGCTGCGGGCGTCTTGGAGGGGCGGACGCCCGGCCCGCGCAGGTCTTCGTCGCTGAGCAGGCCGCGGTCATACTTGCGACGCAGGGTGGCACTGCCCAGCACCACGTAGGCCTGAGAGATGCGCGTGAAGCGCTCGGCAGCTTCGGCGCTCCCGGAGTTGCGGTCGGGGTGGTAGAGGAAGCTCTGCCGGTAATAGGCTGCCTTGATTTGCGCCTGCGTGGCAGTGGAGGGGACGCCAAGCAGCTCATAGAGCGCCGTGCGCGAGTACGGGCCGTCGCCCTGGGAGTACGTCCTCGCGTCTAGGCCCAGGCCCGATGCCGGCTTCGGTGGAGGCCCCCCGGCCTGCCACAGCCTCCACAGTAACAAGCGCGGCCACCTCAGATCGCTCTTGGCTGCCATCTTGAATGGAAACGGCGGGCGGTGCAAGATGAACTGGCCAATGGGCGGTGCGCGCTGGCCCGTAGCGTTGGTCCGCTAGCCAATGGAGGGGAAAGGTGGGCGGGGAGAGGGGCGGAGCATGCGCAATCTGAGCCAGTCGCGGCGTCCAGGACATAAATATCCGACGCGTGGCTCGCCGCCACCAGAGGCGCTGCCGAAGGGTGGAGATGGCGTGTCGCGGACGGAGACCAGAGCACGGCGGACCCCCGGAGCTGGTGAGACCGACAGCCTATGGGCACCCTTCTTTCTTAACAGCGGGTCCTCATCTTGAATTACTCCCCTTTCTGTTTTTATTTCCCGTAGTTTTACGACAAGAATGAAGCCCGGAAATACGTGCGCAAGTGAGGGGAGCCTGGAGGTTGCGCGGCGTCGGGCGTCGGGGGTCGGGAGCCGGCAAGTCGCCCAGACCGCGCGCGGGCTTTGCTTGGAAAGCATAGAATTTGGGGTCTGGGAGAAGGAAAAGACCTGGGTTGAGCCCATTTCTGATGAAGTACCTGACTTTTAAGTAAACGGCAAGACCTTCTGGGCCTACGAATTAAGCATTAAAGTGGGCGTGGGCACACCTACTTTCCCTGGGTTTTCAAAGTTGAATGTGACCACTCGTGTTCAACTTGTGACAGATCACCAGGAGGCAGTGGGTCCTGTTGGGGGAGAGGAAGTGTTATCCACAGGGTGTTTGCTGTGTGTCCCTATTTACATTACCTCACTAAATGCCCCCCAACAACCGTCGCTATAGTATGGGAGTTTTATAGAAGGTAAAATTTATACGACTCCGAAGTCCCTGAACCCGGGAAGGCTGGAGCCACCACTTCCAAGTCTACTTTCTCATACACCGCTCTCTAGAAAATTCCACGGATAACTGTTTCCGTTCAAATTAGAGCTCAAAACAGAATCTCTGACCCAAGCTCATTATGCTGCAGATACAAACTTTTCCAGTGTGCAGAGACCTGTATTGGGCATTTTGAAAACATTTATGTATAGTCCTTTCTTTTGATTTTGGGAAAAACATACACTCTAGGCTAACTCTGTTCAATGTGGTAACCAATGGGTACATCACCATTAGGTTGGATGACTTATCATTTAAAAAATATATGTTGAAATGATATTTATAACATGGGGGGGCTGGGAGAAGGAAAATATTACTAGGTATTTTTGGGTTATTTACTCGCTTTAGTTAATTTATTTTTAATGATGGCTACTTGAAAATCCTATGTGACTTGAGTTGTATTCCTCATGGATAGCACTGCTAGCCATTTTTATTGTGCATCATTCATTCTTGTGTGGTGGTGGGTAATTCAGGAAAAACGTTCTTAAGTAATGTAATAGCAAAGTCTGACAGAGTTAAAAATAGCCAGTGGATGGTCATTAGCTAGGTGTCTATTAACAATTTCATGTGAGCCTTGTAGCTGTACCATTAAAATATGTCACAACAAAATAAGGTGTTGCTGCATTATCTGGACATTTGATATCACTTTTAAGTACCTGTAGTTGACTTGGTTAAACAGGAAAGAGTACTCCAGGATGCTTGTTCCTTTTCTCATCTTTGGCGTTTTTTCCCCCATTCTAGGCGAAGTTTTAGTCCAGGACCCTGTCACACACTGGCTTATGTTTTTACCTTCCCAGCTCACGGATCATTGATGTCCAGACCAAGATGGCTGGGCGAGCACTGGAGCTCCTAAATCTGCCTGAGAGTCAACCCTGTTACCTGTTGGATATTGGGTAAGATCCTGGCATTCACTACCAATTGTCCAGGTGGTGGAATGTCTTTGCTATCACAAAGTAAATGGACTGTTGAGTCCATTTTTTGGCTTGTGTCTTCCAGCTGTGGTTCTGGGTTGAGTGGAGATTATCTCTCAGATGAAGGGCACTATTGGGTGGGCATTGACATCAGCCCTGCCATGCTGGGTAAGTATGTCCTATTTAACACTGGGGTAAACTGTCTCTTTTTGTGTTTGGAGCAGTTAGGCATATCATCTATTTTCTTGTCATACGTTCTCCAATATAGATGCAGCCTTGGACCGAGACACAGAGGGAGACCTGCTTCTGGGGGACATGGGCCAAGGCATTCCCTTCAAACCAGGCTCCTTTGATGGTTGTATCAGGTAAGAATCTTTACATCCTGCTTTTAGTCCTGTAGACCAGTGCTTCTGAAACATGGCAGTGCAGCAGAGTCAACCTTGATACTAAGAATATTTATCTTCCAGGAGTTTTAGACTTGTGAGAATAGAATAAAGTAAAAAATTGGTTGTTTTTTATATTTCATACTTGTTGACTCCTGTGATTATTTTGCACTTTCAGGTTCAGACACCACTGGAATATATTCTCTGTTTTGTGGTGTGCATATGGGGGGAGGGGGGTGGTGGGTGGTGTTGATCTTCTGAACCTCTAGGAGCCATTTTGTGGGCCCCAGCAGCAGTCTGGTGCCTGGCAGCCATCTTATTGCCTTCATTTTGAAGTGCTCCGTAGTGGAGGATGGTGCCTTCCATTATCAAAAAGAGCCCACAGAAAGCAAAGAACTTCATGTATGTAATAGTAACTGGCCCTGACGACCCAGAATGGGCTCCTATGCCACTGGATACTGGAACAGTCTGCACTACTCTCGGCTACAGAGTACATCAAAGTGAAGGCAATAAGATGGCTGCCAGGCACCAGACTGCTGCTAGGGCCCACAAAATGGCTCCTAGATCACTATCACCCCTCTCCCCTGATACACACACCACAAAACAGAGAATCTATTCCAGTGGTGTCTGAACCTGGAAGTGCAAAATAATCACAGGAGTCAACAAGTATGAAATATAAAAACAATTTTTTTATTCTATTCTCACAATAGAAGCAAGGAGGTAGGAAGCAGGGGAGGAAGTCATCATTTAATCCCTTGGAAGGAGACCTTCTGTGATCATAGGTTGAATAGTAAGCATGCAGATATAGAATAGGAAGCAGGTGTGGAGTATAAAAATTTGGGTTTGAAGAGTTTCTTGGTTGGGTGTAAGGGATTGGTTTATGTTTGGGAAAATGATTGAAGGGGAAAAAAGAAACATTTTCTAGCATAGCAGTTGGTTTTTTATAATTTAGTGAGATGTTCTTAACTGCAGAAAAATGGCCAGCAGTGGGTTCTGTATGCTATAGGAACAATTATTTTTAGTTTGTTTTTAAGAGGAAAAATGGTATGACAAGCTTAGAAAACATACATTTGTTATATGTAATACATTGTACAGGGTGTTGTGGAGTTTGAAATGAAATGTGGTCCCTGTTCTTTAGTCTCCCCATGATTTGTTAGATGCTGTAGGAAGTGGAGCATTCAACTACCACCAGGTTGAGAGTGCACTGGGATGTCATGGGGCTCACCAGAGTCATGAAGATAAGCAGGAGAAAGGGTTGGGGTTGAGTCTTAAAGACTGGGAGGAATTTGGATAATCAAGGACAAGTTCTTTCTGAGTGAAGGACTAGTATGCGCAAAGGCACAGAAGTGGGGAAGTGTGAGGAGAGGAGCTCGACAGATAATAGGGATGTGTGAGAGAGTTCATAGAAGATGAGATTGTGTGGTGTTGGTCTCTAGAAGACTTGTCATGCCATCCTAAACTATGGGCTTTTTCAGTTGGGAGCTGGCGAGTAACAAGGTCAAGTCTGTGTTTTAGATCATATAGGAGAAGAGAGAGGAGAAATAAGTTAGGTTGTTGAAGCAACCTGGTGGAAGTAAAGCTGGGAGAGGCAGTGGGAGACAAGGGTTTTGGGTTTCTGTGGGTATGTGTGCACAGTGGTGAGGAAAGGAGTGCCAGAAAGAAGTCTTGGGATTGTGATGACTCTTAACAGGTATGGCTGGAAAAGCTGATCAAGGAGAGTGAATGATTGACTTTGTGCAGCACTATAAAGCATGTTTCCCTTGATCAGAGGAAGACAATTAGGGGTAGGGGGTAGGGACAGTCATGGTGTGCTGAGTAATTTTAGTTTGAGATGCATGTAGAAATAAAGTTTCTTTGGACTGGATGTGTGGAAGTTAATGCTGAGTGTAGCACTGACTGTTTTGCTCCAGAGTTGTAGTGACTTAGAGTGAACCTGCACATCCCCTAAAGGGAGTTGTGGGCAGGAGTGCTTCACCTGAAATGTCTGGTGTCAGACTCTTGAGTCAAGGGAGTGATGTGTTGGTCCTGTCCCTGACTAGGTCTTTTCCTTCTGTAGCATTTCTGCAGTACAATGGCTCTGTAATGCCAACAAGAAGTCTGACAATCCTGCCAAGCGCCTGTACTGCTTTTTTTCTTCACTTTATTCTGTTCTGGTGAGTATGAAATCTCCCCATCTGGCTGGCTGTCACTTTTCTTGCCCCACAGATAGAGTATGAAGCAGAGCTGTCTCATGGGAAAGTCACTCAAGTGGGCCATGCAGGGTGGTGGGATCTTATTGTGGTTGAATCTGTCCAGGTCCTTGGCCTAAACAGGAGGCTCAGTGGACTGACAATCCCTAATATGATGTATGTCAGTCTGAGACTGATCAACTTCCTATGTCCACAATGCTTAGTTTTAGTCAGGAATTAATCTTGGGATATGGACTCCAGAGTGAAGCCAGGGATCTTGTGTCCAGGCCATAGAGGACACCTTGTAAAGTATCCTCCAAATACCTTCTGTCACCCATACGCCACCAATGCCCTCTTCAAATTTCTTTACAATTGATGTGTTTCCATCGTTAACTATGATTAGGTGGTAGTTTGCCATTATAATTCCTAAATGAAGTCTTCTGCTGTTTTGAAGGATTCATTTGTTTCTTGGTCCCCTTCGCCTCTCCACCTCACCTGTTTTGCAAGGGTTGATTATTCCTGCAAATGGCTGGTGGGTCTTATGTGTTACTGAGTTTCTCTCCCACTCCTGCACCAGAGTTGATCTTGAAATTCTGAGGGCCTCTGTGCTTGCCTTCCCTGCTGAGAAGCTCGTTCCCTTAATGTTTAAATCGCCAGGTCCCACCAACTCGATTCAGGTCTCAAGTGTCCTTAGAGGTCTTCCTTGAACCAAAAGTAGTCTGCTTACCATCCCTTCACTTTTTGGTAGTGATTATTTATAGTAAAACACTACTGCAAATTAAACTGTCTCCCCTATTAAAATGTTCCAGAATTTCCAGGACTCTTTCATTCATGGCTTTTTCTCTAGTCCTAAGAATAGTGCCTTGTACCATTCTGGAAACTCAAATAACTAGTGAATAAGGAAAAGTGTCTGACGTAGTCATTAGAGTGGTGTTTCTGTTGCTTACAGGTCCGTGGAGCCCGAGCTGTCCTGCAGCTGTACCCTGAGAACTCTGAGCAGGTGAGCCCTTGGCTACCAGAGGTGCAGGGAGGATTAGGGCCCAGAAAGATAAATTGTCCTATTTTTCTTACCTGCCTCTTGCTTGTGGGAAGTGTCTGAAGAGGATGTTATGCTGATTGGTGGGAAGGGAGAGAGAGAATCCGAGAGTGGTCCTTGTGGCTCCCGTGGAATGTTCTGTGACTCGACATCCTGAGGACGTGGAGTAGGAGGGTATTTGTCTTCTCTTGATGGATAAAATGATAGTACAGATGATATGAAATTACCAATTTCCATAACCAAATAAATAAGTGGGGAGGAGGGTGAAAGAACGTAAGCAGTTGTTGGTTCTGTGGAGTGTACCGCAAGAGAAGTGAGGGGAGGTAGGGAGAGACACCGGCTGACAAATGGTGAGCTTTCTCTGACTGATAACACGAATGGTTTGTCTCTCACTTGGTGGTCATTCATTTCCCCATCTAACTGAGAAGATGTTTCCCTGGGCTAAGAAGTGAGAACTAGAGGAATTGCTTATTCCACATAACTCCCCTGAGGGAGATGTATGCCACAGCTGCTTATAGCCTGTACTTTGCTCTGTGTCACTTGTGGGGACTCAGATTTGGGAACAGTCTGATACAGAAAACCTTCAATTTTCCCAGGCTAGGTCTGTGCTGGGAACAGACTGGCTTCTGGAGGGGACCGGAGTGGGAAGATGTTTTACTGACTCACTGTCTTCCTCTTCTCAGTTAGAGCTGATCACTACCCAGGCCATCAAGGCTGGCTTCACTGGTGGTGTGGTGGTGGACTTCCCCAACAGTGCCAAAGCAAAGAAGTGAGTGCTGGGTGCTGGTGTGCTGCCTGCAAAGTGGCAGGGAGGGTGGCCATGTGGTTTTCACAGAGCGCAGGTCAATGACACGTTGACCAGAGTAGTGCCGGGTTAGGTAACATCACTTTGTGTGCTTGTGTATAAATGGTGGGAAGGCGGAGGCCTTGTCTCACCCAGCCCTCACTCTGCTCTGTTGTTTTAGGTTCTACCTCTGTTTGTTTTCTGGGCCTTCGACTTTTCTGCCAAAGGTGAGGGACCCTGCCTGAGTTTGCAGGCAGCGACTAAACCTGGTTCTTGTTGGAGGGCTCAGGCCTGGGTGCTCACTCCCTCTGGGATGGCTCAGAGGGGCTGGAAGATCTTCAGGGAGATCTAAGAGCACTTTGGTTTCTGTAGGGGCTAAGTGAGATTACAGATGAAGAGGAGACCCAGGAATCCACTTTCACAAATGAGAGGTAAAGTGTTTGCTCAGTCCTGCCCAAGGTGTGGGGGGCTGCCCCACCATGTTTACCAGACATGGCAGTGGCAAGACTATTCAGTTCCTCTGGGCTTCTCCAAGTCTTTCCAGTTCAGATGTGGTAGTAACACTGAGGTGGTGATGGAACCTGGGAAGCCATTCAGGACTATGCTTGCTCCTTGGGCTGGGGTGACTGACCTTCTGGATGCTGGTAGCAGCAATGTATTTTTTTTTTTTTTTT